AGCAACAACAGAGGAGTAACTGTTACAATTTTTGCTGTCATTTTTATCAGCTAGCCCAGGCCTCTTTTGAAGGAACTCATTTGAAGCAACTGCCATATAAATAGCAGCTGGTCTACCAGCGATAGAGGTCACTTCAGCTTTACCTGCAGTAGCAGGAATTAAAACGACTTGCAGTTTGTTGCCATGATCTTAGTAATAAGACAGATGTTTAGCTGCATTTTAGATTTAGGTGATAATTTAAACCACTGTATTGTTTACTCAAGGTCATTAGTATCTGAAGTTGTAGCACAGCACCTATCTTTTAATTGTGATCAGCATATTTCCATGCTGGCTATTTTAAGACTCATGATATTAAGAATTAGTGTCTTAAGTTCTCTACATCTTCCTTTCTGGTTAATTGGTTAATGAGAATAAGCCAACTTCAAATTATGATTTTGAAGCAAGCATATTTCCATTAATAATTGCAGTTAAGCAGCATTTGCTAGAATTAAACAACATACTGTAACAAGTTAATATAACATTGTAATACTGCTCCTCTGCAAGAACAAATGGAAGAATTCTCACTAAATAACCAGGGGCTTTCCATAACAACAGGTTGCCACCCCTAATATCCCAGCAGAATGGCCAATAGAGTATTTAGCCTCATGACCAAAGACATCTGACATTTACTATATTTGGAAAAATTGTAGGCAGTTGTTACATACAATTAAATATGCACAAAGTGAGGAAGCTCTGGAACTCGAGATAACACTCCTTTGTTTCCTCAAGTCAGTGACAAACTATATACATTTGATATAATAGCTATGATATATAGAATCATTAAGAATAAACTAATAGAATTATGTAAATATTAATACTTCAAAGGTTTCAGGCACAAGAAGTATGAAACTTTATGCTATGTGCCATGCTGTAATCATTCTAATGCTTAAACATTCACATGTCATTGTCAGTTTTTCAGAAATAGTGGACAATAGTAATGAAGAAACTATAGATCTGAATGCTGTAGTATTATACTGAAAGAAAAGACAAGTCTTCAATCCTTAAATAACTGACTGGAGAACAAGGAACTTCATTTAGATCATAAGCCTAAATTTCTTAAACAGTTAAGAGTTTCAGACAGATAGCAGTAATGAAAGCAGTGTTAAAATATGACTCTCAGATCAGACTCTCAAGTACTCAAAAAAAAAAATCACACCCACCTTCTATATTTAATCCATCTGCTACACGGATCCAAATTAAAAATGCTATTGAACATATCTCATCATGTCACCTCACCTATTTTCATTTCCATATGCCACTTGTCTGCTCTTCCCTACCCTTTTCCCCCCACATTATTTCAATTGCAGAACAAACAGTAGCCAATAGCAGCAAGCAAAACATTTGTATCCTTATAAACATTTTACACTGAGCAAATCCACTTTGAAAAGTCATTTGCCAAGTAGTACAACACATTTGCTTCCAGGGCTCATCTTATTACATCCATGTTAGATATTTCCAAGACATTCAAAATCATAGGATAACCATTCTTTTATTTTACTCATACTTCACTCACCAATAGATATGCAAAATTAATCTTAGAGCCATCGCATTTTTACTTTATAATCTTCCCCAAGCCACTTGCTTTAATATTGGTTATCTTCCCCAAACCTATAAGTGTTCCCATTATTCATAGCAACAAATATATGTTAATCCCACTATTATTAAACTTTAGATGTTACAATTCTATCATAACCATAGCCTAAAATAAATACAAAACTATTGTTGCTGGCTTATAATACTAAATTAAATCATTTTTATTTTTCTTTGATATGAACAGCAACTAGCCTGAAAATGAGTAAAAAAGAAATCATGTAATTTTCAACACAGAAAAAAGGCGAACACTTTTGGACAATTTTGGTTAATTTTTAAAAATGCTGCCATTTCTTGTAAGCTTCATATAAAAAAACAAATTACCATTAAAATATACTTTTAAATTTTCTTAAGAAATATGGCAACCTTTGCATCACCAATTGATGATTCAAAATACACCAATATCTATCAATACCATAGTCTGGAAGTGTTTTATATTCTTATTCAACACAAGGTTGATTTTATTCTTAAAACTGCCACATATTAGACACATTGTTTCACTTGTTTAGGTTTTGAAGTTGAACACATTGAAAGGAAACAAAAATCTCTTGTTTGGAAGAACTAGTATTATCTGGGAAGGGACATTGTTGCAATTCTGGAAAAAGAATATTCCCTTCTATTCACTTCCTAGAGCTAAGTGTTTCACAAGGAAAACCTGTGAGCTAAACACCACCCGTGGCAAGGCTTACAAGTTTTACACCATTTTTATATACTAAACCAGAAAGACAATACCAAACTATCAACACCCATTGAAAGAAAACGCCTACTGCCACTCATTAAACACTTAATATAGATTTCTAAACACGTGGGTTCTTCCATCACCAACAGGGCATCTACATAAGTAGGAACGTTTTAAAATGAAATAAAAGTAACTATTATTTTGTCATGTATTTTTCCTGGCAGAAAAATCAAGCCTTTTTTTTTTTTTTAAAGATCTTAGTATAACATTGTTTGCTTTTGTTTTGTTTTTTAAGTACTGACAGTAAAATTGAAAAAATGAAATTGTTTGGCAAGCATGAGAAAATGTTTCCATGGTTGTCTTCTCCCAGTAGACCAAAACAGGTATCTCTATTGATGTTACAGAATGTGGATAAATATTTCCAGCTAGAGTTTGCCACTCAAGGCCAGCTCAAAATTTTTAATAAAAACAAAAAGAGCAATGTACTCCTCTGTTTATTTGATGAGAAAGCATCCCTTCCATTACATCTGCCATAATGTAGTAGCTCTTGAAAGCCTAAGCCCTAAACTCGAAAAAGATTTTCCTGCTCAATCCATTAACTGGTTCCCTCCTTATTTCTGCAAACATGCAGACTAAGAATTCAAAACATCCCAAACTTGGTCTCAGCATCCAATACTTCTATTGGACAATAAAAATTTCAAGAAGTTAAAAGAAAAAAAAACAGCTGGTACATTACTCCCAAATATCATACCATCATAATAACATCATTTCAAAACAGGCCCTTCCCAAACTGTATCACCATTTGCTTTTTATATTATAGTTTTACACTTCCATACCTTTTTTTACATTATGGAATAGGGGCTGGTCTTTGGCCATTACAAAGTTTTTGTGTGTGACTTTTCTCAACTTCATAGACAATTGAGGGTGGGAGTAAAGTGGGGAAAAAATAAGGGTATCCTCAAGAAAGTATATGGAGGAATTAACAGCCTGTGAGAAGGAGCAAGAGTATACCAAGAAAAAGACATCCTTCCCCCACCACATTTTTCCTAAAGAGCTAATACTAGGAAGATTGCCATTTATATAACTTATTCCTTCCATATTTCTCTTACTTGGCAACCTCACTACTTCCTAAAAAAAAAACCTGAAAAATCACACAAGATGGCAAGAATTTAAAAAACAAACAAACCCGAAGCCTGTTTCTGACATCTCAATATCCTTGTAAACTGCCTTGAACATCTTGTCCTGGACAGTAAAACAAGAAATAAAGAGATGAGGAAAACGATCTTCCCAATCTCTAAGAGATCCTACTGAAGATGATTTGGGTAAAAGTGTAAAAAAAAAAACCACCTCTCTGGTTGGATATACACAAAACACACACCCTCTGGAGAAGCACATTTCAGCCCTTATTCTTGCAACTCCACATTCTGGTAACCATACAAAAACAGAACATTTCCCCCCAATGTGTGAAAAATCCTGAATACAGGTCAATTCAACTGCAATCCAGAATAGAAAAAAAAAACCCACGTCTTCTATAGAGAATCAAATACAGATAAGTCCTCGACTTACAACCACAAAGGAGCCTTATCGTTTAGGTTGCTAAGTGAGAAATCTGAGTTTTGCCCCGCTTTACGAACTTTCTCACCACCTTTGTTAAGCGAATCACAGCAGCCATTAAATCAATAAGACAGGTCCTTCAGCGAATCTGGTTCCCCCCTCCCTCTCCAATTGACTTTTGCTTGTCAGAAGGTCGCAAAAGGTGATCCCACAACTCCTGCAAACCATCACAAAGGCAAGTCGGTGGTCCACGCATGGCCACGTCAATCACGTGACCGCAGGGAGGCTCCAACGGTTGTGTCAAGTGTGCAAAAACGGTCGTTCGGTCACTTCTCTCAGTGATGTCGCAACTTCGGGTCCCCGAAAGGAATGGCTGTAAGTCGAGGACTGCCTGGAAAAGGCACCTTAAACGCAACCCACATTCACACAAACAGGCATTTCGATGGAGGCATTTGGATTACCCCAAGATATCCCAGCTGTTTACAAACCTGGAAACCTGTCCCCGATGGATTCCCCTCCCCCCATTCCTCTTACCAATAAGGGGCCCTAAACCTCCCTGACCCTAATTCCAAGGTCCTTTTCAGCCGATTGCCCTCCCCCGGGACACGCGTGTGCCATGCCATGCACGCATGTGCCTTTCTGACATGCCCAGAGCATCCTCTCATGCTCTCTTATTATCTTCCCCGGGCGTAGGGAGGAAACGAGACGACCCATGTCGGTGGAGACTCCCTCCCCCACACCTCCCCCTAGACACGGGTCTGGCCATCCTCACGTTCCTTACGCCGCGCTCTCCGGATGGAGGCGCCTAAAAGCGTCTTGTTTTCCATCGAAGAAGCAGCAGCAGCAGCAGCAGCAGCCCCTCCTCCTCTTCCCCAAGCCTAAGTTGGAAGAGGCATAACTTGCTGGCTCGCTCCTCGCTTGACGATCGCGCGTCCCTTCTCCCCCCAAATGCGACTCCTTCCTAACTCGGGGAGACTTGAAGGGAGGCAAGGACCATCTTTGCCCCCCCCCCCCCCCCCCCCGTGCTCACCCACCGACCGGCCCCCTTTCTGAGGGGTTTGGCAGCCCTGACTTTGCGTAGACCCCTCGCCTTTTGGGACCCGGCCTCCTTCCTTCCCGGGAAAGCGGCCAGACTCACCCATCGGCCGCCACCGCTCCAGCCGCTTCTGCCTCCGCCTCCTCGCCGCCGTCTCCTCCGGAGACACTGACACGGGCGCACGGATATGCACGGGGCGCTATTTTTAGGCGACGCGGCCGGAACTGCTTTCGGTCCCCCCCCCCCCCCCCCTCCCCTTCACCCTCCCGTTCGCTTGGAGCGGGCTGGGACGTCTCACTGCCCTCTTTCTCGTTCGTGTTCTTCCGCGGGTCTTTCTCGCCTACTTGACATCCTGAGGCTGGGAGGAAGTATTTTGAAAGAGGCCGAAGTGGCTTTTGGGGTGACTTTTTATTTTTTCCTGTCTCTCTTTTTGAAAGTTTTTCCCCCTTTCCCCGGCTTGGAACTATATTTTACTTAACAGTAGGGGAGCGGCTGGGGCCGTGATGTTGCTCATGACGTCAGGGCGCGAAGACCCGAGCGGATAGGGCGGTGGGCGGGAGAGGAGGCAGCAAGGATCCAATCCAGGGGTGACGTAGGGGAGAGAGGGGCGGTGGGCCAATCGTGGAAATGTTGATAGGTGGATCCCCTTTCCTTTGCTTGACAGGACGCAGCACCAATCAGAGTCCCGTAAACCGGATAAGAGTAGACCAATCAGAACTAGGAAGCGGGTCCTGCTCGTAGAGACCTTGACAGCGATACCCAATGGAAATGATCGGGCGCATGCGCCCAAAGCGCCTACCTTCCTTTTCCTTAAGGGAACGAATGACGCAGAAGCGAGAAGGGATTCGCGCATGCGCAGAAGTTACTCGTCCTCCCTTAGGAGTCTCTTCCCTACGGAAGAGGCCTCCTTTGCGGGCACCAATTTGTTGCCAGCGTTTTCTTTTTGTACAGCACCGTTAAAACTCACTCTTTCACCCGTGCACCATACGCACGCCTTAGGGAGGTACGGAAAGCGGCCGCTGGGAGAGAAGAAACGTGATTGGTTGAAAGGCGTCTTAAGAAGCCACTGTCAGGAGGACTCCAGCCAATCACGGTCCTCCTATGAGCACGCGTTCTATCAGTCCCGCCCACTTATATCTAAATAATGGTTAAATGAAAACTACACAGGAAAGTTTAGGGAAAGGAAATAAAATAAAAAGTGCAAAAAGCAACAATCAGAGAGCAAAAATAAATAAATGATTTCATGAATTATTTGCAACAGTTAGGAATAAACTATCCGTCCTTTCTCTTTAAAAGTTAAATTTTTGTACAGAGATTATTTCTATCCCATATTTAACTCGTTTCAGTCTGCAAATCCAGAACTCAACATTTCACTCTTTTTCTTTTCTTCAGGAAAGAGTCCATAAAAGATTTCCAATCTTTTGTAAAAGTACATACTGCTTAATCCCTGATCAAACAGATCAATTTTGCCATAGAATAGAACAACAATGTAGAATAGAATGTAGAATTAGAATAGAACAGAACAGAATGTAGAATAGAATGTAGAATTAGAATAGAACAGAACAGAATGTAGAAATAGAGTAGAATAGGATAGAATAGAATTTTATTGTAACTTTAAATGTACACTAATCAGCATACATTAAAATGACATTTCATTGCATTCAGCTCTCAAAAGATAACCATTATGAATATACTCACATATATATGGCACAGAGAAACATCAAAGTCTAGTTCGAATTTATACCTACACATGGTGAAAAAAAGTGCTAATTCTGTTCTCTTCACAACCTATGCCACCATTGTGGGTACTGTATTTCAATATTTCTCTATCCTTATAATCTTACCATAAATAAAATCAATCTTCCGTCAAGTTTCCAATTGATTATTCATAAGTCCCAGTAAAAACAGCCCCTCCCACTCTAGAGGGATTCTTAAGAGCACCAATGTGTAAATGCTGATGCAGCTGTTAAGGATGGAAAAATTGCAATGCCAATTCCACACGGAAGCAATACTTTTCTCCTGCCATCAAACTTCAGGTGGAGGTCTGAGTTTCCAACAACTGTGAAGAATTCCTGGGAACTCCCAGAGTTGCATGCAACATTGCTAAATCTTGACCTTGCCAGGTGGAATTTTGTTTCTCTCTCTGACTCTTGACTGACTTGCAGTTGAATTGACAACATGACCTATATTTACACTGATCATATACCCTTTATTATAAAGAGTAGTCCTTTATTTCCAAAAGCTGACCTTTAATGTATTTATTTTTTATACATTACATTCACTGCGCATGCGCAGCAGATACCGGACAATCGGCTGGCTGGGGGGGGGGGGGGCCAGTGGTGGGATTCAAACTTTTATTACTACCGGTTCTGTGGGCGTGGCTTGGTGGGTGCAGCAGGGGAAGGATACTGTAAAATCTCCAGTCAGAGGTGGGATTTGCCGGTTCTCCGAACTACTCAAAATTTCCGCTACCAGTTCTGAACTGGTCAGAACTGGCTGAATACCACCTCTGGTGTGCACGTATGCACAGTGGGGCTTTTCCGGGCGACCTCTTACATGCCGGCAGAAGTGGCTCTGCATGCCACTTCTGGCACGCGTACCATAGGTTTGCCATCATGGTCTTAGCTTAATGTAAATGAGGCTGAGGAGGGGAGATAGCATAGCAATCTTCCAATACTTGAAGGGCTGTCATCAGGAAGAAGATGTCAATTTATTCTCCCTGAGGGTAGGACAAGAAGCAATGGGTGGAAGTTCATCAGAGGAAAACCCAATCAGGAAATAAGGAAGGATTTCCTGACAGTGAGAATGATTAATCAATGGAACAGCTTGCCTCTCAGAATTGTGGGTGCTCCATTGGCGGATGTTTTCAAGAAAAGATTGGACAACCATTTCTCTGCAATGGTATGAGAATTCCTGCTGTGGTGGGGTGGAGGGGGGTTGGACCTCCAAGGTCCCTTCAAGTCCTATTATTCTACTCATAGTCCCTATATTTGGTCCTTCTTTTGAGATCTCTTTAATATCCAAGAATTACTTGGCCCCATGGTTTTATCTAATGTTTTCGCATTTTTCGTCCTGCCTTCTTTTCTATATCATAGTGTTGGGAATTAAACCCACCCCTCTCCTAGAAAAATGAAATATCCTAGGAAATAATAAAAAGGCAGAATATTTCCCCTAAAAAGAGAAGTAGAAGCTCACCCCGCACCTTTGTTAATGGGTGGGCCTTAACAAAGATCTCCAGTACAGCTATAGGAATTGCCAAAAGCCCTTTCATTACATCATCATCCAGCAAGGCTCAACCAAGCCTGGGACTCAGGACAGCCTACAGAGTTGCCCCTGCATGGCCCCATGGAAGTCTGACAACCAATCAGAAAACAAGCTCAAATTCAAATGCCAACAGAGGGTATAAAACCAGACACTTTCAGCCCTCCTCCTTCTTCTTGATCTCCTCCCTCACCTTGAAGTATGTGATCATCCTTCCTTCTTTGGAGCTCCAAGCCATGTGGTCTTGTCCACCGTTAAACTATCTTTCCAAACAGCCTCCATGATTCCACTGTCTTTTTCCCCACTTGGAACTGAACCCAGAAGGATAATTCTTCCAACAATAGCAATGCTGTTAAGGGATTAATATGACTATCCTTAATATCTCCAGATGTAATACCCAGAGGATTAGCCAATCAATCAAATAATAATATTAGGCTCCGTTTCTACCTGGATGATATTACCGTTCTCCCCTAAGGTTTCTTCTAGTGAGTTTTCTACCAGATGTGAATATTTTTAATGAATTCTGTCAAGAAAGCTCCTGGCAATATTATAATCTGGGTATTTCCCATTGCACTCCCCTTAGAAACAATTTTTCTGAGTCACCCTCAGTAAACACTCCCATTCAAGTAATGTTTGAAGTGGGTGTGTTCCCTTCTGTGCTCATAATAGATGAAGCGAGTCTGAGCTGCATTCTTGGGTCCAGTGTGGATACTGGGAGGGACATAATGACACCATAGCATTCAAACTAACTAAAGCAGGAGTGCCCAACCCCCCATCCATTCACCAGCACCAGTCCGTGACATGCCAGCAATCAGGATGCCCAAACAAGTGAAGCCCCAAGGGATGCAGGCAGCATGCAAAACCATGTCCCTTCTGGTCCACGGTCCACCTTTCTCCATGGAAACAGTTCCTGGTGCCCAAAAAGATTCGGAGTCACTGACTAAAGCCCTCCAAAACATCTTAAGTAAATGAAAAGTGAATGAAAAACTGCTGGTGACCTTCTACCACTGCACCATAGAGAGCATTTTAACTTACTGCACCTCTGTATGGTTTGCCAATTGCACTGTGGCAGATAGGAAAGCACTCCAGAGGGTGAACATCATTGCCCAGAGGATCACTGGTTGCCCTCTCCCCTCTTCGGAAGAGCTTTATAGCTCCCGCTGTCTTAAGAAAGTTCAAACTTTCTCAAAGATCCATCTCATCCCGGGCACCCTTTTTTTGAACTATTACCATCTGGCAGATGGTACAGAATAATAAAAACAAGGACAAATAGGCTGAAAAACAGCTCCTATCCCAGGGCAGTAGCTCTTTTGAATTCTACTGTATAGTACAATATTAATGCAATATCAGGAGTTTTCAATTCAGTTGTATAGAATGTGAAGGATGTGTGTTTGTGTTTTATTTTTATAGTTATAATGTACAATGAAGATGGCATTTAATTTGTACAAGGTGCAATGATAATAAAGTAAACAAAACTAAGCTAAAAGACCAAGAAGTCAAAAAAGAGTCATCAAAGATTCTAACAGCTACGATCTAAAACAGAAGATTAGCAGAGCACATCAATGAACACCAACTAGCCTCAGAAGGCACAATGGAAGCTCCTTCATTTCACGACACATGGCAGACAAACTGTAGCTTCAACTGGGAAACTGTGAGCAGCTGAATCCCCAAAATACTAAGGGATTTCTGGAAGCCTGGCACTCAGAAAATCAGCCATCAACAGGCACATAGAGATAGATGACACATACACATCATTTGAAACAGAAAATTAGAAAAGGTTATAAAGGAAAGAAAAAGACTAGAATATCTTCTTGTCAGCCAGCAATCAGCACCTAAATAAGCAAGGATTAACATCAAAATTAATATCAAATAATCGGTTTCTGGTTTGCAAGGCTTCGGCAGCGGCAGGAATCCGCAATCGTGCGCGGTCCCTGCTG